GGCGGTGGCAATCCTTGAGGTGGTTGAAAAACTTCACTGAATTATTGAATCAATGGCTGCACTGAAGGAGGAATGTCCCTACCCTCATATAATATGATTCCCTCCTGCCTATGTAGCTCCACCAGATAACCTTCCCCCACCTCCTCTATGCTTCTCATCATGGTTTTAAGTAGGGGTGTGAAAATCGGGTTACAGGTCAGGTTCGGGTCGAACCTGTTATTGACCTGCTACTGTTTGACACGACCTTCGGGTTTTTGGAACCCGACTCGAAACGAGCAGAAAATGTAACTCGAACATGGCCATCGTCGTCGTTACTTTCAATCCAACTGTCGGACCTCCCTTTATCGCTGGCAAGATAGAGATGGGGCCGGAGAAGGCTTCGTCCTTATTCGAATAAGAGAGAGAGAGAGAGAGAGAGAGAGAGAGAGAGAGAGAGAGGCTTTGGCCTTCTTTAGGACGGAACGAATGGGGTCTCCAAAACTCAAAAGGAGGGCTTTAGCTGGTCCTCACACGAGAGAGAGAGAGAGGGAGATCATTAGAGGGGATCTTTGGCCTTCCCTGGGACAGACCAACCGAGCAAGGGAGTGAGGGAGGCTTCGTGCTGGAATGGGCCAAATGAGAACAACAAGGCGGAGATTTAAGCTCGACTAGGTCGTAAGAACGGATAAGAAGAGGGTTCGACTTCGTGTTGCATTCGATTAGAATATGGCCGAGGGTTTTTGGAGGCTTGTGAACCACAGAGAGAGGGAGAAAGGAAGACCGAGCCCGAGAATTGTGTGTTTGTCTTTCGTTTCATAGCGGGAGAGCCTTCTTGCCTCTCCATACCCCAATGTTTTAGTGTCTGTCCTCTCGGTTGAAGAGAATGCATTGAGCGGGAGTCCCTGACGTCGGCTTGTTGTTGTCATTGCTTCCAAATTCCGATCCAACCCTTTTGGCTTCCATGGTCGAAGGAGGTGAATGGGGTCTATATGGGGCAAGGTTTAAAATTGCGTAAATAAGCCTCAAGACATTTTTCGTCCGTGAGTGAGGCGTAAGCCTCACGGTCGAAGAATTGCGTAAATGAAAATTTAAGTATTCTAGCAGGTAAATAACAATAAGCGTCTATCATACAATAAAAATATTTAAATGAGAAGTGAAATTAGTGGAAAATAATAAAATAAATGCAATATATGCATCTCATAGCATAATTCAAAGTACAAAATCACAAATATAAGTCTATCAAATCTTCCAAAGTACAAATAAAACAGAGCATCTAAAATTCAATCATATCCCATCACTAAATGGGTCTTAAAGCGAGGCATCTTCATCTCCAATTGTATCTATGAATGTCAAATCTTCATCATTTTCAATGTTATCAACTTTTCTTTTCCTTGTTCAATAAAATGATTAGTGTGATGGCTAATTGTATATATTTTAAATGTAATAGCACATAAGAAATTGTGAGATACATTTGTTTGCTTGTTGTGCTGCAGTATTAGTGGATGTGTGTGGTATGATACTAGTGGATGTGCTCGCTTGATCTGCTTCGCCTCTCAAGACATCCACACTTAGATCCTCTAGTTGTTGGTCTGATAATGATAAATCTGTCTCATCATCTATGAATCAATTATTATTAGACGTCACATCATCACACACCAAGGGGTCCTCATCATTCTTCAACCCCTTATTCATCAACCTCTTATCTCTCAACCTCTTGTTATGCATAATATATATAACGAAGTTCATTCTAAGTGTTGGAAGTCGATTTTTTCTCTTCGTTTGCACTTGACTATATGTGCTTCACCACATTATCACAAAAATTGCATTTCAAATACATGTCTTCTCGCCACCTCCTACATCAACCTGTATACTGTACTTCCAAGAAGGGTCCCGCCGCAGATGTATTTGACTTTTCTTTGCCCCTAACCATGTTTTCTAATGCACAAATGTAAAATCAAACCAAAAATCTCAAAAAATTGTAAACCGTAGATTTTCTATAACTTGAAAAATCATACCTTGAATTAAAAAAAAAAACCTAAAACCTATACTTGTGTGTCGTAGAGGGCATCGGCATGAGGTGGCGTCGGCGGGAAGGCCAGCCGAGGGAAGCTAGGTCGCGGATCTGGGCTTGCGGAGAACTCCATTCGGTTCGGGTAGGCTGAATGAAAGAAGTGAGGAAATAGGATTTTTTTTTATTAGGAACTTAAGTGGGTGGGACCCGGCTTTATGAGGCGTGCGCCTCAGCCATTATTGCACAATTGGGCCTCTGAGGCGCGCCTCATGGTGGATCCTGAGGCGTAAGCCTCAACTAGACCCAGAATTGCTTAACAATGAGGATCTTGGGGGTTAAATTGCATAGAGGTGCGCCTCTTATTGCGTAATTTTAAACTATGGTGTGGGGAAATCAGGTCATATCTGGGTCAATTTTGGGTCAGCGGGTTGACCAAGATTTGACCCGATTTTTAAAACAAGTCAATTTTGTGAACCGAAATCCAACCCATTTGCCAAACGGGTTGATCCTAACGCAGAATTTTCAGGTCGGGTTCAGATCGAACTCTTCAGGTTCTCACCGCCATGGCCTTCCCTCAGTTTCCTTGTCATCACAGACGGTGAGAACTTGAAGAGTTTGGTCCCCACACCTGTGCCATGGGGTATACTTCTCATCATATCTGAAGCATAGATCTTTTGCCCTCTTCTCCTGCATCTCACTCTCAGTCAGTCTTTTGAAGTCCCCCCTTCGTCCTATTGGCTTCTCCCTGGGATTCTCATGAATGTTACTCGATGGAGGCCCCTTGGATGCTAGAAGGGTGGTAGTCATCCTGTAAGAGCCGCCTGAACTGCTGCCTTTGACTCCCCTCTGCTGGTACTTCTGATCCTCTACTAATTGTGCTAGCTCCATAGCCTCTACCAAGTCACGAGGCCTCATGACCCTGATAGCTGCTGAGATATCTTATTTGAGTCTCTTCATAAAATTTCCCTCCATAACAGTCTCTAATAGTCGATCCAATCAACTTGCCAGGTACTAAAATCTTTTGTGATAATCTTCCACTAAACTTGCCCGCACTAGTGCAAAGAACTGCTCATAAAAGCCCCCTCCCCTGTTGGTTCGAAAAAGTTTCAATAATCATTCCTTGAACTCCCTTCAACTCTTTATGAGCCTCCTCATGTCTCTCAACTAGTACCAAATCAATGTTTTTCCTTCCAAACATAAGCCAGTTGCTGTCAATTTTTCCTCCTCAATCAACTCATTGACGGTAAAATATCTTTCCACCTTGTAGATCCACCCACGTGCATCCTCCCCTTAAAAGATGGGCAACTTCAACTTCCGTACCTTTGGATCTCCCCCATATCCCCTGAATCCTCTGTAATTATCCCTTTCCAAAGTGTTTGGTCCTCCCCAAGAATCCCGATCCTCCCTTCCACGCTCATACCCATACCCCTCTTCACTTTCTCCTCTCCTCCCTTCAAAATTAGCATTCCTCTTTTCTTTCCCAAATAGCACCCCTTGGTGCATGCCCTCCATAACCATGCCTCTCCATATCTTCCATCTCTCTCCTCAATGATCTCCACATTATTTTTCCTCCTACGAATTTCAAAATTCGTATTCCTCACTACCGGACCCCATCCCTCCGATGCCGCCGTTTGATTTTGATTTTCCAATAACTTCTTCACACCATATCGTGAAGATCTGAAACTTGACCTTGCATGGCTGATATTCTATCCTCAACCGTTGCTTTCATTTGGTTCATCTCCTCTTCAAGGCGTTCTTCCAGTGCATTTACTTTCTTGGCCTCCATCGATACGCGGATTTTTGTAGACTAAAAAATCTGGATCTTGACCTCAAAAAACAGCAAACAGCCCCTTCGGCCCAAAAACAGCTGCTGGTTTTCACAAAAATAGCCCAAAAACTGGCCCAAAATCTACTTTGATACCAATTTGATAGGACACACTTGAAGATCTTAAGTAAAATCTATCAATCTTAGCAAAAACAGCGAGAAATACCCACCAAACTTCAAGGAAAAACCAAAAAGCAATAGTTTTATTGTGATAATAAAAAAATAATGGAAGGAAAATACCAAGATACAAATTATCCTCGACTCTAGAGGAGGTTCTACCTCTCTCAATCCCTAGATGCTACTAGAGACCAAGCCGCCAAACTTTGAGAACAAAAGCCTCCACAATCCATTGTATAACCCTAACCCTAATCTTTTTCTCCTACTTAAATCATACAATTAAAAAAATAATAATTAAACCCAAATTCCCCCTTAGTCCTAGCCGCCACCCCTCTTTCCTAATTGAAATCTCTAGTGTGGCCCAACCACCTTGGGTGGCAAATCCAAGAGGGCGGATTGCTTGGTCCGCCGCTTATAAAATTGGGTGGCCCCTTGTAAAGGGCCGGCTAGACCGGTCCAGCATGGACTGGTCGGGTCTAACACAACCCTTTTTTGATTATTAGTCTTGTTTTACTCTACTTTTATTTTGTTGTTCTAGGCAATCATGTGGCGTCAAACTGGTAGTCTTGATACTAATTTGAGTCATGTCAGGGCTTTTAAAAGTAATTCTTGGTTCGTTTTTTATTAATGAGTAAAGTTTACACAGAGTTCTCATCATACGTCTATGCAAATATTTCATTATTTCCTCTATCAAAGATCCTCGTAACTTCAACCCTTAACGTTGCACCCAATGCATGAAACCCCCGTTACTGTAGGAATTCGGTAGGCTTGCCCTCTTTGTGACTTAAAACTTATTAAGGTATGTGGAGTTTTGGATTTAGTATGGATAGTTTAAAAATAAGTTGGTGTAGAAATAAAAAGTGGTTGGCTCTCACTCCAAAGTTCAATTTTTTTAATTGAAAATGAGCTTAACCACTCGCATATCTAATTCAAGGTCCCTCAGTTCACTTTTTAAAGCGGTATCAAAGCCGATGGCTTGGTTGAGATCATGCATCAAATGGCTTTGTTGCAGCAAATGTGATATCTTGCATAATTAAACATAGAATTTATTTATTTTGCTTTTTGCAGGATAATCAAGGCAATAAGATTAGATGTCTCAGATGTTGTGGATGCTGATGAATTTGAGTACAAGGATCCGGTGGATGGTTCGGTCTCCAAGCACCAGGGAATCCGTTTCTTGTTTGCAGATGGTTCCCGGCTGGTATGTTTCTTCCTTCTCAGTATATTTTTTTGTTGCTGATATCAACTCTTCTACAACTTCGTCCAGAATTTTGTAGAATCTGGAAGTTCTTATTTCCCTTTTCATATATATATAAACTGTTTAGATAGCCTTTTTGATATCACCCTGATTTCTCCAATTTGAAGGTATTCCGCCTATCTGGAACTGGCTCAGAAGGTGCCACAATTAGGCTCTACATTGAGCAGTATGTGAAGGATTCTTCAAAGACTTCGAGGGACTCACAGGAAGCTCTAGCTCCTCTGGTATGAAAGCTGAGCTTGTTTAGTTTCTCTTCTTTTGCTCTCTACCTCGAACCAATGTTCATTGTATCCTCATTTCTGCTTGTTATCAATTTCTTATTGTAGGTGGAAGTGGCACTGAAACTTTCCAAGATGAAAGAGTTCACAGGACGCTCTGCACCTACTGTCATCACCTGAGTATATGACAATCGGCTAATAGCATGGAAGTTTTCTACCACTTGTTCAGTTTATTCAAAATAAATCATCTCTTCCTGTTTTTCTACCTATTTTTAGCACAAACAGACGAGTTAATCGAATTTGCCATGCAATTTTGAAGTTTTGTATTCCTTTTGCCTGGGAATATATTTGATTTCATTATTTCTCCACATATATGATGGTCGTTTGTGCAACCTTATATACTTTCATCAATATATCTTTTGATGAATAAAATCAATAGATAAGAAATAAACTCTCCATTGTTCTGGTTCTTAGGCTTTTTATATTTTCCTTCACTTTTTACCGTTGTGCAAAATTCAAACTGCAGTTCAGTCTTTTTCAGGCAAAGGGTGGCCTCTATTAGTTCCACCAAGTAGTTTAGACTGCATCAGCATACTAATTCAATACAAAAAATATATAAACAGACTGTCTTCACATAGTTCAGTAGATGCCAAATTGCCAATTCTCCCAACTATCTTTAAACTGGAGAGTGGCAGCAAGTTTTAAGTATAAGTTGCTTTTGTGAAAGGCTGACAATTATAGTACTTGCATGCTGGCTCTTATGGAAGAAAAATTACAACGTGCGGTGTTCGATGTCTCCGGAGGTTAATCTGGACGCGCCATGTTACTCAATGCACATTGCATTGGATGATGTGGCACGTCCGAATTAGCCTCTGGGCGCATTCGGACTCCACATAGAATAATCTCTCCTTATTGACACTTGTGTTTTGTTTGAGACAACTTTCTTATTACTTAAGTCATCCAACTAATAGTTACAATGGATTTTGATATTAACTAGCAATCTTATGCATATGAATATGTGAAATATTAGAAAAAATGATTTAACATTGGTTTTTGGGAGGTAATATTTCATTTTTAGTATTGTTGTGTTAGAATATTGGTAACAGCATAGAGAGAAAACTATTATGTTTGTTATGAAAAAAAAATCCTCACAAAACTAAAAATAATTAATACACTATATGAAAATAATTTTTATATGAAAATTCTAGAGGAAAAACCCCTCATTCGGTTGAAATAAATTTTATTAGTTATATTGATAGATTATTGGACAATATATTTTTTTGAGAGTAATCCAACTTCATAAATGACTCGTGAAATAAAAGTATATAGAGATCATAGTAAGAGTTTGTTTGGGACATTTTTTTTAATTATTTTTTAAAGTAATTTTTTAGTATAAAAATTTTTTGAACTAAAAATTTTTATGCTAGAAAATTACTTTAAAAATTAGTGAAAGAATTGTCCCAAATGAAGTATGAAGGTTCATTGAGATGATTTTTTTTATTGTTTTTTAAAATGAAGTTTTAGTAAAAAAAAATAAATCTAGCATGAATAGATCTATCAATGATTTATTTTATTTATTTATTTATTTTGTTTATTTAGTTTTTTTTGGCCTCTGCAGAGATGAATTCACAATTTGAGGTAATTAGGGTGACGGTTGGTGGGTCGATCTAATTGTTTTTTTGTGGATGCCGGATGCCATCAGGAGACCAACAGAATGAGCCACGTCAGTACCGTTGTTCGATACTACTCGATACCGCACTTTGTATTGCTGACATGACTCATTCTTGTTGATCTCTAGATGCAGTTGCATCTAGTTGGCCTTCAGATGTAGAACTGTGTTTGGCATCCGTACAATTGTAATTAAAAAAAAGGTCATTCAATCCCCCTAATTATTCAAAACTATTAATATTCAGGGTCTAAGTGTGTATGAAGTAATTTTTTTTAGTTGTCGGAATCAAATCAATATGACTATTTTGATCTTAAATTTATAAAATTTGGAATATATTCATTCTTAAAGAAGATGTCAGTTTCTATTTATGGTCAATACAAAATAAAAATAAAATATTGTAGCTGAAGTCCAGCATTCATTGAGCATGAGTAGCAACAGCTTTCTGTTTCGCTTTATTTATTTATTTATTTATTTTAAAAGCTTTCCGTTTTGCTTATTGGTTTCAGGCTTTCAGCTACTTTCAAAAGTGCTTTTTTTGAGCTAAATATTAAATTTAATTAGTATTTAATTTGGATTTTTATTGTTTGTATTTTTAGTATTTTTTTAGAAATTAATTAGTATTGATATTATAAATTTTAAACGAAAGATTAGACTGTTAATGTTACTAACTCAAAATATTATTTAGATATATCGCTAAAATAATATTTTTTTTCTAAGCGAAGTATAGTAAAATTAGATTTTATTATCTTAAATTTTTGTTCATTTTGTATTAGTTACACATTGAAGAACTATTGATATCAAGCTAAAAATATTTTTTGTGGTTTCTAAAATTGCAAAATATTAATTTGTACTTGAAATTTCTCTATTTCTATTATTTATAAATATTATGACTCTAAATTATAAAATAAAGAATGATTGAGGGGGATGTCCAGTCATTCTAAATAATAGCTCAACTAAATATGCTTCATTACAGGAAAATCGATCATTACCAGTGAATTTTTCCTAATGGGAGAATCATAATATTTTAGGCTTTTATTGGAAATGAAATGATGAGGGCTTAGCCCAATTTCATTTAGTAAAATGAAATAACAGGTGTGGATCAGGCTTAGGCTGATATAGTCTCTGAAGATGTTGCTAAGTTACAAATGATCAATCAAACATATTGATAATGTTATTTATTTATTTATTTTGCCCAATGACGTAAACCTAAATAAAAGTAATAAGAAGAGGAAGCTCATTACTATTAATAAAAAAAGCTCATTAATTAATAATAAATCATGTTTTCGCAACACTTTTATTTACTGCAACGATTTAAACACATACTAAATTATTTGCGGTGGTTTAAGAACCGCTACAAATCCGTTGTATTTATGTTCGTTGGAAAGACTTTAGCATCAGTTTGATAAGTGCTATTGTATGAAGGTTTTAGCAGCGCTTTAGCAGGTATTAAAATCGTTGCTAAAGGATATAATTGATTAAAAATTCATCTATGAATTCCTTAGACCTCATAATTATTTTGAGTCTCACATATTAATTAATAATTATTAGAATTTTAATTAGCATAAAATTTGATTTTTTTTTTAATTTTAAAAACAAATTGCACAATTTCATTCAATTATCTCAATTTATATATATCTCTCAATCTATATGTACATTATAAGTAATGTCTTATTATTATCCAATTAGTGCATCTAAAATAAGTGTTATAATTATTGAATGACATAAAATTTATATATATGCACATCTTTCATCAGTATAATTTTACTTTACCAATCATAATATATAGACAATTTATTTTTCCTAATTTTTCATCTTTTTTCCTTTTCTTCTATTCTCTTTCATTGAACTCCATTGTCATTTTCAGTCATTAATCTCATATTTAAATTTCTGAAAAGCATGCAAATCCTTTATATTAAGGCTTCGTTAATTAGGAATAGCTAATCTTAGTACTAAAATTTTATTTTATAAAGCAGAAAGCCAGAAAGAAAGTCTAAATAGTTAATTGTACAAATTTAAAACTGTTCTTTGCAAGAAATTCATATAAGAACACAATAAACCATTTTATTAATTTTTACGAATTTAATTTTAATACAAATAATCACTCATATATAAGATGAAGCGTACTTACACATACATTAAAAATGCTAATTAATTTTCTTACACGCATAAATCAACTAATCAAACAACGAATGGATGGATGATTACGTCTGCGGAATTAATGGAACGTATGCTATTGTACGAATCGAATTAGAGCCCTGAGGTGAACGGAACACCGGTGGCCGGAATCCAGGAATCGCCGGAGATAAAGCTGCCGACGCTGAACTTCCCGGCCTCGGTAGCGCTGGTGATGACGTGGTATCCGGGCCAGTTGACCCTGCCCGACGTGCTGGATCCGGCGCCGGTGTTCATGTATTCGCCGTAGTAGAGCGTGGAGAGAGCGAAATTGCCGCTCCACTCGAGCCAGCCGGCGGGAGCGATAAGGCTCCCTATGTTAGTCTTCAAGATAACCGTTCTTGAGTATTGCTGCCAGGGGCGACCGAGGTAACTCTTGACGGAGCTTTGGACGGGGGCGAGGTCGGAGGCGGCGGCGATGACGGAGTCGTGGATGGAGATTCCGGTATTCTCGTTGGGATCAGTTCTTCCCTGAGCGGTGACGGTGTTCTGCTGGCCGCTAAGAGGCTTGCGGGCGTATATATTGCAGTTCTGGAAGACGACGGCGGCGTCGCCGAAGATGAAGTCGACGGTGCCGTAGACGTCGCAGTTGCGGTAGAACTGGCGCTGGCTGTAGACGTAGACGGTGTCTTGGTATCCCTTAAAGCTGCAGCTGTAGAAGACGGAGAGGTCGGAGCCTGACCGGAGAGCCACCGCCTGATGCTTCTGCGGGCCCGCCGTGTTCTGGATGGTTATGTCACGTGCGATGAATCCGTCACCAACCACAGCTGCATGGAAGAATAATATTATTCAACACGACCTCTTTTTATCCATTGAAAGATGTATTTTATTCTTTATATTCATAAGAGGATCAAATGATTATAATAAAAAAATTAGCAGGTTTAATAAGTTTTGTTCTTTTTTTTTAATATTTTTTTAAAAAATTTAAGTCAAATATTATTATTATTTGAAATTAAAAATCTTATAAATAATATTGGAATATAAATTATAAGACAACGAAGAATATTATTAGCCTCCGCATGGCAAGCGAGTTTCTTTCATGCATTTCAATAACAAAAACTGATCAATGAAATTATACTCACCAAAAGTTGCCGAGCGGAAGGTGGTGGAGCCATCGACGACGTTCTGGCTACCGGTGACAACTGTCTGATCAATTCCATCGCCAACGATCATCAAATTCTTCGCCGACGCCGGGATCTGAACTTGCTCGTTGTAGGTTCCGGCCTTCACATATATAACAAACCTCGACGTTCCGCTGCTCTGCTTCGCAGCAGCAGCCACCGCCTCAGAAATAGTCTCATAGTTCCCCGACCCGTCCTTCGCCACCACAAGGTTAGCGTTCACCGTCGACGACTGAAGAAGCTTCCGGTCCGCAGCCGAAACCCAGGCCGGAAACATGCTTTTTCCATCGTTGGAGAGCAACTTCCGGTTCCCCCCAGCTGAATTAATACTGGCCGCGGAGGCCGCATGAGCTGCGTTGTTAATGGCAAGCAAGTTGCTGACGGCGTTGGAGATATTGTGAGATTGGAATGGGGAGGATGGAAAGTGGAAGGAGGAGTTGAGCTCAGCAAAGCCGTTACGGCAGGTCTGCTGGTTGGCGAGGGCAGCACTCAGCCAGGTTTGGGAGTCGTCGTGGGAACAGCTCTGAGACAGAGAGCGGTTGAGCTGTGCGATGGTGTCCTCGCAGAGCTCGAGACAGTCGGCCCATGCGGCCTTCGTGGGCTGGTCATAGGCCGAGATGTCTATCTCTGACGCGAGCTGGTGGGCTAGCTCGGCCCGGGCTAGTGTCGCTCGGATGGCCAGCTCACGGAGATTAATGGCTTGAGCATTCTCATTTACTACCATGGAGGTGCAGAGCTCAGGGAATGGCGTTTGATTGCAGGAAAGTGCTTTTGCGGTGGTGGCAAAGAGGAGGGTGAGAAGGAAGAAGGAGAGATTGAAAGCCATGTATGCTGAGAATGGTTTGGGCAATTAGAGGAGAGCTAAAGCTGTTTGTAAGAATGGCGATGTAAGGAAGTATAAGATGATCTCCTTATATAGGCGAAGTATGAGATAGAAGTTGGTGGCGATCGATAGAGGAAATAATGAAATGAAACGTTGAGTATTTGGATTTGAAGAAAAGGTTGGAAGAACTTCGACGAAATTAAACATGTGGTTATTTCTGCCCATGCAACGTTATACGTAGGAGAAGAGGGCCTTTGATTAGTTTTTTGGTCTACGTTGGTCAGTGGTCTTTGGTGGAAACCGTTATTCGATTGCTTTTGCAAAACTTTTCGAGAATTTTCAGTCTTTTTTTTTTTTTTGAAGAATTTGTGTTGATAAAAAGTTTGAATTAATGAAAAATATTCGCACGTCAGAACTTTAAGGTTTATTTCTTTTATTTTTTTTTTTGGTGTGAGAATATCAAGATTTATTTTGAATTCTCATTTGCACAATTAAAACATTTCAAAATAGATTACAAAATTCAATATTTTGTTGTTGGTAGTTAGCTTTAAAATATTGGCAGAGACCAGAGGCTGACGCAGCGATGTTTTTTTTTTTTTTTTTTTTCATTTTTTCGCTTTTTCATTTATTAAAGTATTTTAATTAGTTGTTTTTGTTTATTATAAATATATATAAATTTTAATTAAACTATGTATTTATAAATGATAATATAAATTAAACAAAAAATAAATAAAAATAAGATAAACAAACTAGTCAGCAAGCAAGCACGGCTTGTTTAAGGAAGTAAAAATTTTTCTTTTTAGTTATTTTTTAATTTTCATTTTTTTATTTAGCTTTTTAAAAATTTCTTCTTTCTAGTTTTCTCTCCTTTTTTTAATCATTTTTTTATTTTATATAAAATATTTTGTATGATTTTACTTTATAAAAAATGTTTTTATAAAATAAAAAACTAAAAAATGATTTGATAAAACAAAAAAAAAGTAAATTAAAAAGAGGAAAAAAGCGAAATAAGACAATGAAAAAAAGAATCCTAACTAATAGTTAGTTTAATTAAAATTTTTATATATTTATAGAAAATGAAAATAAAAAGTCGAAAACTAAAAAAAATAAAATAAAAAAAAAGAAGAAAAAAATAGAAAAGTAAAAATTAAATTATTGCGTGCCACTTGGCCGTCATGTCATCAGCAGCTTCTAGCAACTCACGTAGCGACCATGCTATTTTTAAAAATATTTTTTTATTAATATTTATTTTAATAATATAAAGAAAGACTACAAAAAAATTTCTGTCCAAGAAAAGTAAAAAAGAAATAAATCTTAATGAAATTTGATCTAAGGGCATCTCCAACCGGAAAACTCCTTTTTCATTTTAAAATATAATAATACATCAAAATGTATTAACTTGTCTCCAATTAAACTCAATTTTATAACACAAAAAAAAAAAAAAAATCTTAGAATATTCTTTCCAATAATTAATTTTTGAATTAAAAAATAAATAAATTGCGGATGAACAGAGTGATATCAATATTGGCGTGTCACTGGTCATCCCGGGTCAAATGACGTAAAAAATGACGCTCGGTTGGAGCTAAGGAAGAACGACAAACACTTATTTGCCTTTCCTTTACAGTTCCTATTACTGACATAATAAGAAGAGTAGCTGCATGAACTGTGGGTTTGTAGTAAAAAACCTACTGAGAGCCAAACAAAAAATAAAATGGGGATCGAGAAAGAGAAACAGGAGACAGTGAGCTAAGCGAAATTATCACCGTCCATTAGGAAAAATGGGAAGATGCTTTACCCTTCATCATAGCTATTAATTCGAAGTATGCTCATCCAAGAACTCAGCAAATTCTCTCCTTTTTCGTGCATAAACGTGTAAAAGACTTTTCACACTTTCTGATCTTCCTTTCAGTGACTGTATAATGACTTGTATTTACTGCGCCGGACATGAGAGTTTCTTCTCATCCAGCTCCCATACGAGCTGGCGAGTGAGAATATCCATAAACTTTTGAGCGAGAGAACAAAAGAGCCAGACAAATACAGTCAGGTAGAGAACGAAGCAAGAGATAAAATCAAGCATTCAAAAGGGAAAGCTAATTGCAAAACATGGAATGAGTCGCCATAGCCCAACCAAAGAGAACAATTACAGAATCTGTTCAAGTTTAGTTAAACTAATTCAAAAATCACCCAAAACAACCAAAATATGAACTAGGTTTGATCCAATAGTTTATCCCTCGATCAGCTCTGTGTAAGATCATGCATGTGCTTTATCTTTATTTTGTTTGATTCTTAATTTAACAAATGACTGTTATTAAGCTCTGCTACTGATCTTATATCAGTTTATAGTACGTGAGACTACTTTTTATCTCTGAAAGGAAAAAAAAAGCAAGCAATAATTCCAAGGCATACTTGATAAGCTAAGTTAAATAAATATGCTCACATTTTGTAGAGGTAAGTAGCAATATTAGAATGAATGCGCCTGAAAGTTTAATCAATGGCAAGTGATATACTCGTTTGGGGCAGCTTTGTTATTCCTTTCTAAAGCAACTTTTTAGTCTAAAATTTATCGTTCAAGATTTTTTTCTATTATAAAGTTCTTTTTGAAAGCAGTACGAAAGTTGTCCCAAATAAAACCTATATATATTAGAAATTTGTATAAAAATTATTTGATTGGTTGCTAACTAAAAACATTATTATTTTTATTATATATTATGTTATATTTCCAAAGCAAGAATATATAGATGAGGACTGGTGTGAGCGGAAGGGCTAGTGGCCAACAGTGACGGGCGACAAGCGGAAATTGAAAGCAAGCGATGAATGGGATTTGAAAATCACCCTAATGCAAGGAATTAATGTTTTTGAGGTATTTCCAATCCCTCATAATTTTATTTTTATTCCTCTTTTGCTTCATACCAATTATAAAAAAACAAATATAATACCCCACTAATTCAGCTGACCAACCAACTTTTAGTACTAAGAAAATTATCATCGATAAGAGATAGACCACCAATAGGAAGTAATAGTATAAGATATATTACCACTTGAAAAATGGAGTCTAGAATACTAGCAATGATTGCGACATTCTAAAATTTCTATGCAAACGATTGTTTTGTCAATGGCTTGTTCAAATGATCCTCTAATACATTTTTTTCCAATAATTAACTTTAATTAAAAAAAATAATTCAAGTTGCGTCCATTTTCTAGCACATCTGTTTTCTATCAGCAAAGAAAATTAAAATGATTAATGACGAACGGATTATGTATTTGTTCTTATAGTTACATTAAATTAAAGTACTTATGGTTAAGTAATCTCATAGAACTACAAGTTTCAATCGCTTAGAATTATACTTGATATTTCTTCTACGTACTCTATATATTTTGTCAATCACTATCAAAAACAAGGAATTTCTTCACGATTTTGAAGAGCTTTAGCAGCGATTTTAATCAATGCTAAAGAGTTGTTGTTAATATCATCCACTAGAAAGCTATTTGGTAGTGATTATAAAACTGTTGGGGAAGCAAATTACAATAAAGAGAAAATGCGTGGAAAGCAAAAACACTAGGGTTTAACATAGAAAAACTCAAATCGGAAAAAAAAAATTATGGAGCCACACCAAAATTCACTATGAAATTTTGGAAGAAATAGAATATATGTGATCTCTTCTTTCAACTAATTATACTCCTTACAATATTCATTAACATTTCTTCTTCCAATAGCTTCCATTTTGTTGTGGTTTACTCAACATTATATTGAACAATCATAACTTCTTTCAGAAATCTAGCCGGCAAATGGTCAAGCATGCACATAGCTCATTGCACTCCCTCCATGTAACATATATAAAAATACTTATCTTCTTAATTATCTTCTTCTTTTTTTCCTTTGTGCACCTTGAAGGCATATTGTTCCTTTGTCTTTACAAAAAAAAAAAAAAAAAAAATCTTATAATGCGTGAATATGCAATCATTAATGAACGAATTAAAGCATCTCTAATCATATCAATTAAAATATTAAAATTATAAATTTATCATTATTATTCAACTTCAACTGACAAATACCCCTGAAAATTTGAATTTATCTTTCTTAGATTGCTTGGAGATGAAGAAATTGTTCTTAATTAATCTCCACAAAGTGATCGTTTGATGGAGAAGTATACTAGCCACTTTAGATGAGACGTAAGTTTCGCTTTGGACGACTTTCATACTGTTTCTTAAAGCAGATTTCTAGTACAAAAGTTTTATTTCTTATATTAAATAGCTGCTTTAAGAAGCAATAAAAAAGTCGTCCCAAATAAAAATTTAGATTTAATATAATACGACTTAAAGATTTTGAGTGAAATTAAGCATAAAGTCACATACGCTCTCGATCTCATACGTAAGATATCGAATATTCGAATTCATGGCCTCTTGATAGAAGCAAGAGCTTCCAACCACTAAATTAAAGTGTACGTGCTGCATGAATTAATAACAGTATTAAGTTAATAATTCAGTGATAAACTTAATTGGTGAGGCTAATTATGTCTTGCAAGAAAAAGAAAACCAAACGCAATGTCCTAATCTGTTCACTAATTATGCTTTAACATATATTAGTCTTAATCAAATATTTAATATAACTAATCCTGTCACATTGCAGCAGATTAATTAACTGATTAGGTTTGAAAAATTATGCATGTGGGACTGTTTATTACCGACCTTAGAATATTTTCGATGTGACAGTTGCATTAAAATTAAGATTAATTGAACCAAATTTATTTATTTTAGATAAAAATTACTGTTCCAATTAAGTACAAATGGATGGGATTAGGATGCACGAACGTCCGTTTCTCCTGCAACCGAATTATTATTATATTGACTGTAATAAGAGGGCTAAGAGGCCGTCATTCACGACTTAATTAAGCATTTTAATTTTATTACTTTTTCTTGAATTTTTTTTTTTCAATTTAATTTAATAATAATTATTTTCTTAAGTATTTTGTTACAGTATCGAAAATTTAATTTTATTATTATTT